CACCCACTACCCCGAGAAGAAGGATTTTGGGAGCAAGGAAAAGACATCCGTTTCTTCACCCATCTTCATTTTAAAATCCCCTCCTTGGTGGATCAGTTTTTGGACGGTGGGGAAAGGAGGATTTGCAACCTGATTAATAAGCTTAATTGGGTTTTTGGGAAACATTTTCTTCTGCCATCAACTTTAATGAAGTAGATACGACAGCTTTGAAAATTAAACCTTTAGTAAGAATGTTGTCATGACTAATTGTTCCTGCAGTGTGAAGCTGAGAAGCTCAAGCGCAATGTCATCGCTTCTTTGACTGACGAGCAATTCTCTGCTAATTACCGCATTCATCTGACCATAAATCCTTCCCCACAATCGTCCGCCGCAAAAAATGAGCTTAACTCCTCTTCTATTTGACACAAACTATCCGATCTTTTCCCCGAAAAACAGAGCAAAAAGCCATATTTATTTCCTTCCCGCCTAAATGTACTGCGCCTTCTACCATCTAATAGTAAGCCTTATGGTGCCTCAGAAGAGTCTGCGAAAGTTGAGGAGCAGTCTTTGACCCACCCATCACTAAAGCTGAGCTTTTAGGGTTATTTCCAAGCTCTCTAATATAGACCTAACACCATATCTCTCACGGTTACTATCTAAAAACCGTAAAATACTAGGGGAGAAAACCATTTGGAGATTCCAAAACAAGTTAAAGCTATTATTGGGATGCTGAAAATGGGTAGATCCACCTGATAGAGCATCCTCAACTCATACTTGAGTGTGCACACAAACAAACAAACAAACGCATTTTAGGTGACGGAAGCTCTCCTAGTTTTGTCTGCTACGTCAAAGTGATTTGCCCACCAATGTTTGCATTTTCGCGCATCAACAAAAGCAGCTCACTCGGAGTAGCGCGAAAAAGTGACGAACGGTGCGACCCCATTGGATCACCTGATTGGCTTAGCGTCTGCGCCACAACATTTTCATCGCAAAAATGACGTAATTCAACAAGCACACGCTCTTCGAAATCAGTAATCAGCAAACGCAATGGCAAAGCAAGTCATGGGAGTTGCAAAGATTTAAATGTTGGAAGAGCTTTGATGTGAGTGAAAAGAACATAGGCAAACATATGAATTTGGCATGATTCATTATAACAACGCGCAAGTTTTTAGCTGTACACGGCAAGTGATAATCATAAACCGTTCTCTATGAACCTGTTTAGCAGTGAGAAGCAGAAAAGTGGGTAATTATCACGGAGGGCGAGTATACAGCATATTGTAACAACAAAGGCTTTAGAGTCGCAAAGAATGGCATTTCTTTACGTCACTGCATTGCCACACCTTTGGTGATAAGTGCACACGTACAAATAAACCGTCATAAATGTCGTCATGCAAGCAGAAGTGCGAGAGAGGCCATCGTGAACGTGACTGAGCGTATTTCCCTGACTCTCTGGTTCCATACACATCTCGACCTCCTAATACTGGATGGTAGAACAATTACATGTGGTGCTAGAATGGTCTGAGTAAATACAAATGCGGTATTGTAATGCATTTCAACCGTGTATTATTCAGCCCATAACAGTCATGAGAAAGTAGTTCATTTTGTTCCGAATTCGAAAGATGATGCAATATTTGGCCGAAATAGGTATTACAAGTATGTGGGAGGGTGGGTGTTGGTAGCAACCTCCTGAGCAAATGCATCGGCCAGGCCCAGATTGAATCATTGCCAAAACTGAGTCAGACAAGCATTTAATTCACCACAATCAATCTGCTAATTCATTTTTTTAAATAAATGTACTTATTGCGCATTTCTGTCGGTGCATGTGGAAGCAATGGACCGCAACTCAATGCGATGGGTATCATGCGCGCTATCTATTTCCAGGTGTGTTGCATGGAACCCTTCAATTCTTCTCCCTTTTATCTCTATTGGAACGTAGTGGGATTGGATAAGGTAGTTACCAAGGTGAATGCAACATATTAGAAGGGTGGAGACAAGGCTTGCCAAAACGATGATATATTTGATGCCTAGATGAGCTCAGGAAGAAATCCAAAGATAATGGGTAGGCGTTAATGCAACAAAACGGCAAGTTTGAAGGATAACGAGGACAAGATTCGCTTTATAGAGCGGTTCCACCGCGGGAGGCACAAGTTTCGAATAGCATTGAAACAGGGAAGACCAACTGTTAACATTACGTACGGAAAGCTTCTTCCGGTGAAGCCCAAGTTGCAGGATATGCACTACAACTGGTGTATGTTCACTATACGTTGCTATTTGTACTAAATCATGAAATCTCGGGGTGAACCTGTAGCATTTGCCCTCGGGAGTCATGTCGAAGAGAAAAAAACCAGTACAATAGTCGCGAAACAACACAACCAGTGGTGTATCTCGAAGTGCAAATTAGCAGTCCAGTTCAGTGGCAACAAATGAAATTAGTCTTGAGACATCTACTTTTATTGTGTATAGCAATTGCGATTACACAATGAAAAATAGGGTAGATTCAAAAATACGGGACGATTTAATGGGCAATAAGGTGAAATGGAGTGCCTGTACACAGGAGGGCTGTTTAAGGAATTCTAGTGACTTCAGGTTAGTAGTAAATATACTTAACAAAAAAAGGCGGAGGTAGACATCCCAGCAGTTTAGACCCACACACGGATAAAAAATGGGATGAGCCTGAGCGACATCTGTAAGATGTGTGTAGAGTTTGGGATAGGCGGGGAGGCGTCACGGACCTAGACGCCATCGGTAGCGTTTGTCGTTCCGTTGACATGATTGCAAGAATTTGACAGCAATTCCTTCACCGTCGGCAATTCAGCTCGCTCACGAATCTCTTCGAGAGTGTAATCCACGAGAAGGCGTCCATTCTCAAACACCGTTACCAGTAGATCCTACAACATACACGCTCAATTTGTCTCCGTCCTTGCAAACACACGAAAGAATCAACCACGTCCACTGGTTAAACAATCCTCCTCAACCCACCGCCACACACCTCACCATCGTCTCACCACATCACCACACAATGACAACCATCCACCAACTTCAACACACCTCACCAACTTTCATACACACACACTGGACAAAGGATTGCATGCGAAGTGGCTCACTTTCTCCAAATCGCCCTGACCCTCCTCCATCGTGACGAATCCGTTTTGCGACGCCGATCGTTGGAGGCACAGACGACCCTTCTTGGAATGCTTCTGTGGATCAGTGATCGGATGCTTGCAAACGTCAACCTGCATGCAAAACACATATACACCGACTTTGAGCCCTGC